AGGGAAGTAGATAAAGTTAAACTAGCCTACCTTGCATAGGTCAGTGAGGGATGTAGATAAAGTCAAACTAGCCTACCTTGCATAGGTCAGTGAGGGATGTAGATAAAGTCAAACTAGCCTACCTTGCATAGGTCAGTGGGGGATGTAGATAAAGTTAAACTAGCCTACCTTGCATAGCTCAGTGGAAGATGTATATAAAGTCAAACTAGCCTACAATGTACCTTTCATAGCTCAGTGGGAAACGTAGATAAAGTCAAACTAGCCTACCTTCATAGCTCAGTTCGAGATGTAGATAAAGTCAGACTAGCCTACCTTGCATAGCTCAGTGAGAGATGTAGATAAAGTCAAACTGGTCTACCTTGCATAGGTCAGTGAGAGATGTAGATAAAGTCAAACTAGCCTACCTTGCTTAGCTCAGTGGGAGATATAGATAAAGTCAAACTGGCCTACCTTGCATAGCTCAGTGAGGGATGTAGATAAAGTCAAACTAGCCTACCTTCATAGCTCAGTGGGAGATGTAGATAAAGTCAAACTAGCCTACCTTGCATAGGTCAGTGGGGGATGAAGATAAAGTTAAACTAGGCTACCATACATAGCTCAGTGAGGGATGTAGATAAAGTCAAACTAGCCTACAATGTACCTTTCATAGCTCAGTGGGAGACGTAGATAAAGTCAAACTAGCCTACCTTCATAGCTCAGTGAGGGATGTAGATAAAGTTAAACTAGGCTACCATGCATAGCTCAGTGAGGGATGTAGATAGTCAAACTAGCCTACCTTGCATAGGTCAGTGGGGATGTAGATAAAGTTAAACTAGCCTACCTTGCATAGCTCAGTAGAAGATGTATATAAAGTCAAACTAGCCTACAATGTACCTTTCATAGCTCAGTGGGAAACGTAGATAAAGTCAAACTAGCCTACCTTCATAGCTCAGTTCGAGATGTAGATAAAGTCAGACTAGCCTACCTTGCATAGCTCAGTGGGAGAAATAGATAAAGTCAAACTGGTCTACCTTGCATAGCTCAGTGAGAGATGTAGATAAAGTCAAACTGGTCTACCTTGCATAGGTCAGTGAGAGATGTAGATAAAGTCAAACTAGCCTACCTTGCTTAGCTCAGTGGGAGATATAGATAAAGTCAAACTGG